AACATCGTAACACCCATAATCTCAAGGAAATGGCCCTCCCTTCCTCCCACCCCACCCAAACTGCCTTAGTACCACCCGTCAATTGGACTACAAAGTCAACCCAGACTCAGAAAGGCATCTCTCTCTTCTAATGATGGTGACGAAGACTTAAATTATCATTCTCTGCTCCCACCCTACCCTGTGGTGGTGAATTTTGCAGACATCCAGATAAAAAGTATGTTTTAAAAAAAGAAAGAAAAAGAAAGAAAGAGACTAAAGCGTAGCCCCAGCCTTTCAGAGTGATTAATCCCTGCTAATGATTTACCGATTTGCAGAGAGCGTGTTCTGCATAACCGGATTGTGGGCATTAACACCAGCTCAAAGGCTGACATTCTGCTAAAAATGAAAGTAAATTTCAAGAGCAATTGACCACCCCTAATTTGAATATTCTACTGACACACTGGGAGGACCCTTACCCACACCCATAAGCTTAGAGGTTGAGGCAGGAATAAGAAAATACAAGGAAAGATTCATCCCAAAGAGATATTTCAGCTTCCGTCCCTCCTTCCCTTCACCAAGACCTGAGAATTAAATAAGTTAGACCGCTCCTTTCTCTTCTGCCAAAGGCAGCAACAGCCCTGATACTAATCCTCTCCTCTGCCTTGGGCTCTAAGATCACAGGAAGGACAGAAGAATTGGATACCTGGAGGGGCTGAGATTAGAGGGAAAGAGGAAGGGGCTTTGAGGGCTCAGAAGGTTGAGCTCATCCTATGTGCGGAGAGCTTTAGGATGATGGCAAGCACTATGAATCTGCCTAGCCAGCACCCACCCTCGCCAAGGTAGTGACCCTGGCGCCCTCCTAAGACTAGGGATTTATGACAGCCAGGACCCTGCCAGACTCTTCCGGTCAAAACCACATTCCAGCTCAGAATGAGCAGGCAGCCAGCCCCAGTGGGCGTGGTCCCTCCTCACACTCTTTAGCAAGAACTGGTTAGGGGAGCAGGCAGGTTCCACCCCTGCTCACACAGCCTCTTACTCACCCCAGATGGCCGGCCAGAGAGGGAAATCAAACCACACTTTCCCTTTCCAAGTTTCCTTCAAGCAGCGATCTCACCCCCAGCTTCTCAAGCAGCCAACAGAGACCATATTGCCCAGCTTTCAAATGAGGATACAGAGGGTCACAGAGGTTAGGAGGCTGACACTGGCCCAGTAGGAGCCCTGAGTCAGGACCAAGATGGAACCCAGGACCCTTGACCGCCAAGCCAGACCATTCTGAAAAGGTAGGATCCAGGGCATAAGGAGACTGGCAGGAGGGAAAGGAAGTGGCCCATGAGTGCTGCGCCTGTCCGGCCAGCCTCAAAGTCTCAAAGCCCATACATGCAGGAGGCATCCCGAGACACACAGCCCATCTGGCAGCACTTCCCATGGGCCCCATCTCTCTTCTTTTCTACTTCTCTGCATTCCTGACTTGTGAGGAATCCACGTGGAGCATACTGGAGCCTGTCTTCCTCCAGCACTGAAAAGGCCTGAGGTCTGAAACTGCATCTGCTCTCAGCCCGTGCTGGACTTCTCAGTAACTGATCTATTCGCAGAAGAGAGCTCAGAGGCTCAGAAACCAAAGGGGGAAAGCAGCCAGACCCAGCTGCCTCCAGGAGATGCAGAGCAAGGCTGTTCCTCTTTCTCCTTCCCAAAGCTGTGCTCGGTGTGCCATTGTTAGCCCCCCTGTCATCTGGGATGTGTGTCTGGAATACTGCCCTGTGTATGTGGCCGCCAGGGTGCTGATGGCGACCGCCTCGTGCGTATAGTTGTATTCTAGGGCCCACATCTGTAACCCAGAGCTTTGCGGAAAGAGTATAAGAAGCTGGAGATTGTGTTGTAGCCTGCCCTTCATCCCTGCAGAGCCTCCCTCCCACTCCCAGCCCCCCACAGCCCCCGGCTCAGAGACCCCCCACAGTGAGGGCCCCATCTGCTGGAGGCTCGGTGACCTGTGTCAAATGAGCAGGCGCTCGGTCACACTCCAGAGCCTGGAGGAGGCCTCTGTGCTCTGGGAAAGCCCAAGCAGATCCTGCCTGGGGGCGGGCTGGGCAGAGGCCCCGCTGGGGAGGGAGGCCCGGGAGCCTCTGAAACTGGCGGCGGCCTGGCTGGGAGCTGCCCTCCATAGACAAGGAGAGTGGGAAAAAATATAAAAAGAAAAGCCTTCCCTGTTTCCCTGGGACTAGCACTGCAATCAAACCATGCAGACCAAACTCGGGATTGGACACAGCCCCTTCCTCTGCTTTCCGATCCCCTGCGTGGAGCTGTATTTCTTACAGGGTGTGGGTGGATATGTCTGTGTGTCTCTGTGATGTGTCGGTTGAGCTTCTTTGTATCTGTGCATCTGGGTGAGAGGGTGTGCATGGCTGGCTCCGTGTGCTCATGTGTGTGAATATGATGGTGTGCCTATGTGTGTGACTCGGCATGCCAGCTGAGAGTCTTCTTGTTTGTGGCCCCAAGAGCCTGTAGGTTTCATGTATCTCTATGTCAGCAAAGCAGTGCCTACTTGAGCCTATTTCAGCCTATGTGTGGGTTCTGTGTATCTCCCCGTTTAGACACATGCCTGTATTTACCACTGGGTGTTGCTTTGTGTGACTATGAATATTCCGCCTAATGGTGTGAGTCTGTGTGTTCCCCATTGTGAATCTGCATGTTTGATCCTGTGCTAAATTGCACGGTTCTATCTGTGTGTGTGTGTGTGTGTGTGCACGCGCGCACCTGTTCTTATGCCCGCACCACTCTGTGTCTACATGGATCAGGTGGGCATCTGACCTCTGTGTGTACACCTGCCTATGTGTTGTGGGTCTGAGGGTGGGGGCCTGAGAAGGTGGTGCTCCAGGAGGAAGGGGCTGCTCAGCTGCAGGTGTTTCTGCCAGTGGCCATATCTTGGCCCTAGTGTCCCAGACAGAATCTTGAGAAGGATGTCAAGACTTCCGGGGGGAAACTTAACTCTAACACGAGAAAATTCTGACTCAAGACCAAACCCATATCCTTTTAGAAGGTCTAAAATTTCCAAAGCAGAGAAAGGAATTTTATCTTCCCTACTTCAAACTGCTTCCCACCCCAGGGCAGCATCTAATATTTAAAGGACACCTAAATTGGATGCCTTATTTCATTCGTGGAGCCTCAGAGCTGCCCCAAGAAGCAGGCATCATTGTTCTCACTGTAAGATGCACAAACTTAAGCTCCAAGAGGCAATGTAGTTCACACAAAGTTACAGGGCTGCTAAAGGGTGTGATGGGACTGGGACTTTGATTTGTTGGGTGACAAGCTGATAATCTAGAAGCCCGTCTACTGGGGCTTTGCTGCCAATGCCCCTCAATTCAGCACAGACCTGGGAAGATGCCTTCAGGAGACCTGGCAGGCCCTGGCCTGCCCTTGAGACCTACTAGAAACAGGGCCGCGGGCTCTCTTTGCTGTGCCAGCCAAAGCTGCTGCCTCCACAGGCCCCCATCCGATGGTAATGGTGAGAATGGTGAGTGGAAACTCACAGGTCCTATGCCATTGGACAAATCTTGGGTCCCTTATCTAGGCAATGAAGATAATCTCAGTGGTCTCTCACAGGACTGAGAGGTACAGTAAAATGATAGATGTTAAAGTACTTGTTAAAACACAGTGCCTATGCCGGGCACGGTGGCTCAAGCCTGTAATCCCAGTACTTTGGGAGGCCGAGGCGGGTGGATCACGAGGTCAAGAGATCGAGACCATCCTGGTCAACATGGTGAAACCTCGTCTCTACCAAAAATACAAAAAATTAGCTGGGCATGGTGGCACGTGCCTGTAATCCCAGCTCCTCAGGAGGCTGAGGCAGGAGAATTGCCTGAACCCAGGAGGTGGAGGTTGCGGTGAGCCGAGATTGCGCCATTGCACTCCAGCCTGGGTAACAAGAGCGAAATTCCGTCTAAAAAAAAAAAAAAAAACACACAGTGCCTGTATGTATACCTCTGTAACAAACCTGCACATTCTGCACATGTAGAACTTGAAGTATAATTTAAAACAAACAAACAAAAAAAAAAAAAAACCACGGTGCCTGTTGGCAATTCCAAAGGCTGGACATTGAAACCTCTGTCCACTGTCCAGACATTTCCCCTCCTGCAGCAGGAACTGAGACAGATTACAGAATCACCGACCATGAGAGTGAGAAATGCCAGAGAGGTTAACTGATCCAAACCTCTGCAATCCCATGCTATAGGTGAAGAAACTGAGATTTAGTTGGAGAGGGGGAATGCCTTGCCCCCTCACTGAATAGCAACAACAGAAACAATCAGAGTAAGCACCCATCTGAGAGCTTTACACCCCCATCACCTCACACCACTGTCTGACCTGCCTTGGTGAGACAGCTGGGCTGCCTATATTACTGTTATTCCCAACTTACAGGAAGGAAAACCCAGAGCTAGGAAGAGTGGATCAGAGTTACTCCTGCCCAGGAAGGTGATGGCAGCTCCAGGTTGAAAGCCCAAGCTTCAATATCACACAGACCTAGTTAGGGCTGGCATGAGAGGGGACTTCACTGCAAGATTCCCAGCCTACCTCCTACCTCCTAGGCCTGGGAAAGGGGGCAGGAAGGTGAAGGGCCTGGGTTGTCTCAAGGTGACCATTTCCTGGGCCAGAGTCCAGGAAAGCCCAGTATCTCTAGCTGGGTTCAGACACAGAACTCCATCACAGCTCTTACAGGCAGGGTGGGACCATGGAGCCTGCTCAGGACAGTGACCAATGGCCAGACAAGGGCCCTGCTCTGTCCCACTCCTTCCCTGTTCGGCCCTAGGCCATTCAGGGCCCACATGATCAAAGTCAGTGCCCAGGGTGACCCCTGTCACTGTCAACTCTGTCCCAGCCACCCTGGATCTTTCCGATGCCATCTGCCACCTGAGCACCCCAGGACCTTTTTTTGCACACTGAGGCTTTATTCCCCACACCTGACTTGCTCAGTGGGCCCCTGGCTGGGCCCTCCAGCTCAGTTCTGTGATCTGGGACCCCAGGGCCCTGTAAGCTATAAATCCACTTGAGGCAAGATCCAGGAGAGAACAGTGGGAAGACTGGCAGCTGAAGACTCCCTGGGACCCAAGCCTCGGTGCGGGGTAGAGGAGAGAACACAGCTCAGTCCCCTCAGCCTGGGGCCCAAGGTCGGGTAAGGAGGCACAGAGGAACTGCAGTGAGGTCCAACTCCACTCAAGATCCTTCAGGGGGTCCTCAAGGGCTGGGGCGTGAGAAGGTAGCTGAATTCCACTGTCCACCTTTCCAACAAGGTCTCCTTCCTCTCAATTCCCTTTTCAGCAGCTCCAGGCAAGTCCGGGGAAACTCCAGCCGGGGGTTCCTGGCGAGGCTGGACAGCTCCCGGCCTGCAACGCCGGATTTCTGGAGTGCCCGCGGCCCTTCCCTGAGTCCATCCTTCTCCTCTCCTCTCCCGGGGGTGACCCCACCATGACCACAGCCGATGAGCCGTTCAAGCTGGGAGAAGGAGCGAAAAGGCTGCAACGGAACAGGTCGGATACCCCTGGGTCCAATGTCCACCCCTCACTAGCGCCCTCGCCAGCAGCGTTTTCCCCGGAGCCACAGTCTCCACCTCGAGTTCTTCTCCTTCCGGAACCCCCGAGCGGGGCCGGGTACCGGGGGCTCGCGCAGGACTGTAGAACCGCTGCTGCCCGCCGCCCCAGCCCCAGCCGCCCGCGCGGTACTCACCTGGGCCGCAGTGCCCGGGAGAAGGGGTGCCCGCGCGAGGCGTGAAGCCCGAGTCCGTCCGACTCCGCCCGCGCCGGACGCGCTCTCAGGGCAGCAGAGGTTGGCGGAGTTGCGACTCTGGGACTGGAGGGAAGAAAAGGAAAGCCGAGACGGGCCGGGCAGACGCGCCGAAGAGCGCCCGGTGCACGCTGGCAGCCGCGGGAGGAGAGGCGGGCGGGCGCGGTGAGCAGTCGCGCCAGAACCGAGCCGGGAATCCGCGCCGCCTCTCGCTCGCAGCCGCCAGGACCCGCGGGAATCCTGGTCCGCCCGCAGCGGTACTGCGGAGGGAGGGGCGCGGGGCTGAGCCGCTTCTCGGAGCCCGAGCGCCTCCCGGAGCCCGAGCGCCTCCCGGAGCCCGCAGTCTCGGCTGCCCGGGCGGGATGCGGGCGGGAATTCAACTCGCGTGGAATGTGGGACCGGCCGGGCTCGGAGTCTCCAGCGCTGGGGGAAAGCTGGGCCCACACAGCCAGGACGAGAGGGGGTGCGGTCCCAGGGCCACCCCCGCGCCACTCCCCACGTGGCGGCCGCGCCCCCGGGGCGTGAGTGTGTACGCGGACGGTAGGGGGGCCGTGAATGAAGCCCCAGCGGCCAATCAGCACGGCCGGCGCGCGGGACCCCGAGAGCGACGCCCAATGGAGAGCTCTGGGCGGCCCGGCCGGGCGGCGGGCGGGAGAGGGGGGCGGGGGCCGGGGCCGGGGGGCGGGAGGCGGCTCCGCGGGCAGCCAATGGGCGGCGGGCGGGGTGGGGCTCCGGAGCGCCGAGCGGGTCGGGTCTTTAAGCCGGCGGAGCGAGGCGGCGGGGCCCGCAGACGGAGCGGAGCGGCGGCGGCGGCGCGGCGCAGGGCGCGGGGCGGCATGGCCACCACCGCGCAGTACCTGCCGCGGGGCCCCGGTGGCGGAGCCGGGGGCACCGGGCCGCTCATGCACCCGGACGCTGCGGCAGCAGCGGCGGCGGCGGCGGCCGCCGAGCGACTGCACGCAGGGGCCGCGTACCGCGAAGTGCAGAAGCTGATGCACCACGAGTGGCTGGGCGCGGGCGCGGGCCACCCCGTGGGCCTAGCGCACCCCCAGTGGCTACCCACCGGAGGAGGCGGCGGCGGCGACTGGGCTGGCGGCCCGCACCTAGAACACGGCAAGGCAGGCGGCGGCGGCACCGGCCGAGCCGACGACAGCGGCGGCGGCGGAGGTTTCCACGCGCGCCTGGTGCACCAGGGGGCGGCCCACGCGGGCGCGGCATGGGCGCAGGGCAGCACGGCGCACCACTTGGGCCCGGCCATGTCGCCGTCGCCCGGGGCCGGCGGGGGCCACCAGCCCCAGCCGCTCGGGCTGTACGCGCAGGCGGCCTACCCGGGGGGCGGCGGCGGCGGCCTGGCCGGGATGCTGGCGGCGGGCGGTGGCGGCGCGGGGCCGGGCCTGCACCACGCGCTGCACGAGGACGGCCACGAGGCGCAGCTGGAGCCGTCGCCGCCGCCGCATCTGGGCGCCCACGGACACGCACACGGACATGCACACGCGGGCGGCCTGCACGCGGCGGCGGCGCACCTGCACCCGGGCGCGGGCGGCGGCGGCTCGTCGGTGGGCGAGCACTCGGACGAGGATGCGCCCAGCTCGGACGACCTGGAGCAGTTCGCCAAGCAGTTCAAGCAGCGGCGCATCAAGCTGGGCTTCACGCAGGCCGACGTGGGGCTGGCGCTGGGCACGCTCTATGGTAACGTGTTCTCGCAGACCACCATCTGCCGCTTCGAGGCCCTGCAGCTGAGCTTCAAGAACATGTGCAAGCTCAAGCCGCTGCTCAACAAGTGGCTGGAGGAGACCGACTCGTCCAGCGGCAGCCCCACCAACCTGGACAAGATCGCGGCGCAGGGCCGCAAGCGCAAGAAGCGCACGTCCATCGAGGTGGGGGTCAAAGGCGCGCTCGAGAGCCACTTTCTCAAGTGCCCCAAGCCCTCGGCGCACGAGATCACCGGCTTGGCCGACAGCCTGCAGCTGGAGAAGGAGGTGGTGCGCGTCTGGTTCTGCAACCGGCGGCAGAAGGAGAAGCGCATGACCCCTGCGGCCGGCGCGGGCCACCCGCCCATGGACGATGTTTACGCGCCTGGGGAGCTAGGGCCCAGCGGGGGCGGCGCATCGCCACCCTCGGCGCCCCCGCCGCCCCCGCCGGCGGCGCTGCATCACCACCACCACCACACACTACCCGGCTCTGTGCAGTGACCCCGCGGGCCGGGCCCCCGCCGGCGCGCTGCAGGGCGCGGACGCGCAGCCCGCCCGCGCGGCCTGGACTCTTTTTGTTCCGTTGCTTTGGATTTTACAAAAAAAAAAAAAAAAAAAAAAAAAAAAAAAAAACGCCCAGAAACTTTCGAACAAAACCAAACACCCGGACGACCCTCTCCGGTGAGCGGCGAAGACGGCTAGTACGCTGCGTCGCCCGAACCCCGGGAGAGAGGAGCGAAGATCCGGAACTCGCCAACTCACCCCGGGCATCCTGCCCGTCGCCTGCTCTCTGCCCCCATCCCCTCGACGACCCCCGCCCCTGCCCCCCGGGCTGTTCGGGGCCGGATCCCGGCAGCGGCCTCCCCAAAGCGACAGGTAACGCGGTGCGGGGTTAGGGATTCCCCGGGAGAGAGGACGAAGCGAGGAGAGTTCTCCATCCCCTCTCCCGGCGTGGACTCCTGAGCCTGCGGGTCCAGGGTGGGGGGGGGCTGTCACTTTATTCGCTACAAGCCTCTTCTCTCCTATAAGGATGCGCCCCACCCCCTTTTCCCCTTTCTCCGGGCTTGGTTTTTTACGGTTTTTATTTATTCGTGGAGCCTCTCGGCTCCTGGGGTCCTTCTAACTCCGCCCGCGCCCTTAATTTAAATCGCTGTATACTGTATTTATCGGGGCCCCGGAGGGGAGGTCGCGAGAGCCGCGTCTGTGTATAAAAGCAGGAAATAGCCAAAGCTTTAATCTAGCCTAATTTATTTTTCCCTTTATCTTTCCCTACCCTCCCCTCAAAAAAAAAGCAAAAAAAAAAAAAAAAAAAAAAAAAAAAAAACTAACAAAAAAAATTTCGAGTGTTCATTTTTCGTTTCGTTTCATCCGAGCCCCGGCTTGGTTCCCGGCCACGCGGGAGGGGTCTGCGCTCCCACACACCAAGATGGGAAGGGACTTCTGCCCTGCTGCAGACCGACCGCCGCACAGCGGGGCCCCTGCTCCCCGCGGGGCCCTGCCCTCCTGGCCACACCAAACGAAACTTGGAAAAGTTGGAGAGATTTTTTTTTTAACCAGCTGTAGAAATAAGCTGTTCCCTAAGAACCCTCCGCCTGATTCCCTGCAGCTTCCCTCTGCTCCCTTTCCAGCCCGCCGGGATGCGGGATGCCAGGGGAAGCCGGGAGAATAATTCCCCAACTTTGGGGTGAGGTGGGAACCATGTAAATATGTGAGATATGTACACACTGGAGGGGAGAAGAAACATTTTGTGCTTGGTTTTTATTTTTGGTTTTCCGGGTTACCCTTCCTTCCTACCCTAAAGGATTTTGTACACTGACTAATCCGAAAAAGATATTTTAATATGATTTCCGAATTTCTGACCCATCTCTATTTATTTTCTGGATGTGTTTGGAGCTTCCCCCTTCTCCATTTCTTTTTCTGTTTGTTAAGGTCTGAATTTAAATTTTGTTATTTTATTTTTATTATTTTTGAAACAATGTTTTGGTGCATTCTCTTTGTATCTTTATTGCAAAAAAAAAAAACTAATGTAGACTGGGAAGTTCCCTTTATATTTATGTTATAGTAAATATTTTATTACTCACATAAACATGTACCCCAGGGCTGTGTCCTGTCCTCTTTACTGCTAGGGCTTGGTGGGTTTTGGGGTGAAGTGACGGCATACCCTGCTTCACCTCCCTAAAGTTCTGATCTCACTAAGAGAGATCTTGGAGGAAGATGACCGTGCAGACCTAGATGGATATCAAGCCATGGGCAACAATTGGGCCTGTGCCTCATGCGCATCAGTTTAGGGAAGATGAAGCCGCTTCATATCCCCCTGCTGTAGACAGACTCTCCTAGACCAAACCAGGGCCTGGGACAGTGAGCCAAAGACACCACAAGGAATTCGGTCAGCCATCGCTCATGCACAACTCGACTGCTCTTCTCTGCCAAGAAGGAAGCTCGCCTCAGCCTGGGTCACCAGCCTAGAATCTATAATCCCCCACCTGACACTTCAACCCCAACTTTCATTTCACCTTGCACTCTATATGAGGGGTCTGGGCCAACTTCACCATTCCGGGTCCTAGGGCACCTGGCAGCCTGGTCAGGCCCCACCATTCTACCCCAGCAGGCTCTCCACTCAAAAACAAATGGTGCCCAAGCCTCCCTGGATCCATTGGGAGTTCTAACAGCTCAGATAGAGGTCAGTTTTGTGGTCCTGTGTGAGCTGGGTCAGCCTGGGGAGGGAGCCCTGCCAATTTGCTTGGGCAAAGCCGGCCCTACTTCTCTGCAAACAAACCACTGCCCCAGCTTCTCTTGGGGAGAAGTGGAGGCAGGGGCAACTGTGCCACCAGAAAGACCTGATATCTCCTCTCCAAGGGTGGGTACCCAAGACCGCTGTAGGGAGTACAGGGGAGAGCACAGACATTCATTCTCAGATGCTGTCTTCTGGAGCAAGTCAGGATGTCTGGGGCAGATCTGGTTCCAGGAGCAGAACCCCGGACTACCTGTGTTCCAATCACAATCTTATTTTCTCCTTTAAAACAACCGTTCTTAAAAATACTAATAAAAGAGCTCTTCCTGCTTCCTCCCTAGACGCGATTCTTTTCCCCTCTCCGGAGAAGCCACATGCAATTTCTCTCACTCTTTGTGAAGCCAAAGCTTGAAGGCATAATCTCTTAGCTGGGGAGAAAGTCGTCCCTAGTGAAGGGATATGTGGGGCCCCTCCTGAAAGGAAGCTGCCTGTGTCCAGGCCTGTGAGAGGCCTGGCCTCCAGCCGACGGCATCAGGGATGTCCAGAGAGGTGTCCACAGGGCCCCAAGTTGGTGCTCCCTCGCGGGCTGGGGCCTCAGGATGACTGTGCCATGCTGGGAGTTCCTGGTGACTTTCTGCGCTCAGCCCTCACTCTTGGAGGGGATTGTCTTTGCAAGCACAAACACTGCCTCGGTTTCTAGAGCCCCCGCCTCTCACTCCTTTGCTCCTTTTTCCTTTTCCTCCTCAGTCCAGCCAGGTGAGCCAATAGCCCTGTAATTGGCACCTGGGTCCCAGCCGTTCCCCACACTGGTGGGCCAGGTAGCCTGCCCTCCCGTGTTTCCTAAAGAGGAAGCGGGAACGAACAGGCCAGCCAGGCAATGGCACAGCCGGGAGCCGCTGACCACCCTGCCTCGGCCTCTCGTTTCCACTAAGTACAAAACTTCGAAGGCGCCACACACTCTTCCCTCCTCCCTCCTTATTTCTCCATTCCTGGATTTATCCCAGCCTCAAGGCTCTGAAATGGAAGCAAATGAAGCTGAGAGCTCCCGCTGCCTGCGAGGCCCAGAGCCTCAGCAGGTTTTGAGGTTGGAAAGGGCCACCAGGAAGATGGGGCCTTTCACTGGCCTCTGCCTGCAGCTGACACCAATTGATTGATTGATTTCCTAATTGTCTGCTTAATCCTCTACAAGAGGGTAGGTTTATTATTTAAGCAAGTCAACTCAAAAACAGCAAAACAAAGCAACCTCCCAAGAACCAGCAGCAGCTGAGGAGTAGAACAAAAAGAATGAAAAAAAAAAAAAAAGTGGGAAAAGGGATGGAAGAAAATCTTTTACTTTGCAAGGATTTGGCTTAATGAGACACCAGCGTGGGATAGCTACCCGGTGACCAACCCCTTGGTCGCAGAAGGCCCCTAGACAGCAGGAACCTCAGCACTTTATAGGAAGAGAAATCTTTTTCCCTGGACAGAACAGAGTTAGGACAAGCAAAGCCAACTGTGGCCTTGATGCAGTCTCTCTGTCCCAAGGGTATGTGTGTCTACCTGCTTGCGCCTGAGAGTGTCAGACTTCCTTTTGTTCAGGAGAGGTATGTGACCCTAGTGTCAACCTCCAAGGAAGTCCAAGCTTTCCCTAGCATATTGGGAATTTTCTGATCCCATCTCCCTCCCCATCTCACTTGAACAAAATTATTGTTTATGATGATGTGGCCACAGATTACGGTAGTTAGAACTTCTCTGTCCCCAGGTGAACCTCTGCAAGTTGGTGTAAGAATTTGTGTGTATGCCATTGTGTGTGCAAAGCCACAGCTGATCCCAGAGGTAGGAGAGGAAAAAGAAAACCAAGGCTACATTGCTAATGCTTTGAGCTGAGCTGGAAGAACATTTACAGGCTGGAGGCTGGCCAATACCAAAAGGAATGAAGGTGGTCATCTTTGTCACCTGTGGTCATCAAGGCAAATCCAGCAGGAGGACATTTATATTCTCCCCCTCCTACTGCCAAGAAGGTTGCACTAGTTTATGTGTTGCATGCCTTAGGTCCCATGCAATCATCCCTTGACCCTAGGACTTGACTGGACATCCATAGGACTAACTGATCCCCAATCGCAGATGCCCACGTAGAGCTGTTCAGAACTCAGCCTGCCCTGGAGAGGCTCTGGACCTCGAATGACACACCCAGGGCCGGACTGCCTCCCTCCCTGGAACTTTCCCCAGCAGGGCTTCAGCTCCAAAAAGGAGACCCACCTAAGCAGGGGGTGGAGTGAGAGGAGGTTGGTCACCTGTCCTAGTTGCTCTCCTAAGCTCAGCCAAGATGATCTACTCAGGGCCTCTGGCTTGGAGAGTGAGACCAGAAGCAGCTGGAGGAGCCATCAGTTTTGTCCCTGCCTGTCATATTTAAAGGCCCTGGAGTTCAAATGGTGTTTGGCCATTCAGGGCTCCCCTTGCTGCCTCTGAGGCCTCCATGTGGGAGAACTGCCCTCTATTAGTCCCTGAACTGGGATCTGGCAGCAGTCACCAGAGCCACCTTGAAGTTCAGGATGCCCCCAGAAAGTAAGCAAGTGGGCCCCTCCAGGAGGGACTGGCAGTTAGAGCAGAGGCAACTTTAGTCTCCAAAAGCAGCAAGCTTGCCTCTCTTGCTCTGTCTCTCTCTCTTTCTCTTTCTCTTTCTCTCTCTCTCTCTCTCATACACACACACACACACACACACACACACGCGCTTATCCATGACCCTTCCCTCTCATCTTCCACCCCACCCATTCACACAACCACTCTCAGAAACCCACGATCACACACCACCTCCTCTGTCTCTCTCCCACTCACCCCCATCCCCGTCACTCCTCCCCTCAGCCAGTTAAAACCCCAATCCAGGCTCTTGCCACCTTGCTCGCTCACACACATGCTAACACACCCGTGGTCACACCCACACCATAGTTTGAGCCGTCCGAGACCAGCTTTCTGGTCTTTGGTGTTGAGCTCTTCAGAGTCGCTGAGTACCTGGCACATGTAATATATGATTAAGCACACACGGCGATCCTTTGCAACATTTGACCCGGTCCCCTTCTCTCAGGATTTCCAAGCACTTGCTCCTAAACTGCTTTCCAAACACATCCCTGTCCATCATTGTCCCAGCTCCTCCCAGATCTCTTCCTGCTCCTTTCAGATAATTAAAGTTAGGCTGTGTGTTTGTATGTATGTGTGATCTTATTTTTTAAACACACACCCCCACACATACATATGCGTGTATATATACAAACACACACAGCAATTAGATCTATCCGTTCCTGCCATAGTCCTTCTTATGCAGTAAAACCTCAGCTATGCGTCTGCCCCCACACTGCTATGCAATGAACCCAGCATCACCTCGTCACGGGCTCCCGATGTCACACACATGCACACACGTACACACACACACATGCACAGTGGCACATTCACGTGGTTACACCCACCCCCAGATCCCTCGTCTTTCTCCAAGGGCATGACCCACCTCCCACTACCCACCCTGCTCCAGGGCATCTGAGTGGGCTCTCCTCAGAAGACCTAAGTACCACTAAGTACCAGGAGAGCTT